TTCTATGGAACTATTTCATAATTATATGTTTTCAAAATGGACAATAAGAATATTCTCAAAGTCACATCTACGCCGAATGTGGCAAGTTGAATTAAACATACCCGAAGGAATGTGGGAGTTAGGTCCATGATGAGGTTTTTGTGATCTACCCACATAATTCTGGGGTTATGCTCTAGAGACTACAACTCACGCACTAGATCGTGTATCGCCAAGGTCTGTAGATAAGACTCCGTATGAATAATGGAGAGGGTGAAATCCCAACTTGTCTTTTCGAAGGATTTGGGGTTGCGAAGCTTATGTCAAGAAATTGACTTTGAACAAGCTGGGCTCGAAATCCTACGAAAGTTTATTTGTGGGATATCCTGAGGAGACCAAAGGATATTATTTCTACCGTCTAGAAGAGCACAAAACCTTTTGTTACTCATACTAGCGTCTTCCTAAAAAATGATTTTTTTCTAAGAAGTACTAGTGGGAGAAAAGTAGAACTCGATGAAGTTCTAGTACCACAAGATACATTAGACGAAGTATAGGATGATGTGCCACAGGAAATGGTTGAACATCAAGAGAAGGTTATTCCACAACTTATAGATCAAAGTGAACCACGTCAGGTAGCATAGAAGCTACGTAGATCTGGGAGAGTACGTCGTGAGTACGAGAGATATGGTTTTTTCGTGACTCAACATAGTGACGTACTGGTCTACCAAGACAATGAACCCAGAACCTACGATGAATTTGTATCGGATCTAGATTCCGTTAAATGGCTTAAAGCCATAAAATCTGATATGGACTGTATGTACTAGAACCAGTCATGGTTTCTGGTGAATTCACCAGAAGGGGTAAAACCCATAAGGTGTAAATGAGTCTTCAAGAAGAAGACTGACATGAATGGCAAGGTGCACACTTATAAGGCACAACCAGTTGCCAAAAGTTTCAAATAAGTTCATGGTATTGACTATAAAGAAACCTTTTGGTAGTTGCCATGATTAATCCATCCAGACTATGCTTGCGATTACTGCATATCATAATTATGAGATTTGGCAAATGGATGTCAATGATGCTTTCCTGAATGGAAACCTTGAAGAAGATGTGTATATGGCACACCCCAATGGTTTTGTTCTTGATGGACAAGCTAAAAGGATATGCAAGTTGTAGAGGTCCATTTATGGACTCAAGCAAGCTTCAAGGAGCTAGAACATTCGTTTCGATGAAGCCATAAAATATTTTGGTTTTATCAAGAATGAAGATGAGACCTGTGTTTACAAAAGGGTGAGTGAGAGTGCAGTGGCATTCCTAGTGTTATATGTTGATGAAATACTTCTGATCGGGAATGATATACCAAACTTGCAGTCAGTAAACACTTGGTTATCCAAGTGATTCCCCATAAAGAACTTAGGAGAAGCAGCTTACATTCTCGGAATGAAGATCTATTAATGTAATAGATCAGGAAGTTTGCTTAGCCCAAGTCGGAGTACATAGACAAGGTACTTAAAGGATTCAGTGTGGAAGAATCAAAGAAGGAATCTTTTTTGGTGGCACATAGTGTCTATGTCTCTGCGGATATTTGTCCTAAACCACACATTGCGGGAGATAGAATGAAGAGGATCCCACATGCTTTAATAAGTGGATCCATCTTGTATACTCAGATTGATGTCTCATGTGCATCAAACACTTGTAGGGGATATCAATCGGATCTAAGAGAGCGATGTTGTGATTTCATGCTTGGACTGATATCTTATGTGCATTAAGCACTTGCAGAAGATATCAATAGGATCTTAGTGAGCAATGTGTTATGTACTCAGATTGATGTCTTCTATGCATTCAGCACTTGTAGAGGATATCAATCAGATCCAAGTGAGTGACACTGGATAAGTGTCAATGGACATCCTTAAATACCCAAAAAGGGGCTAAGGATATGATCTTGGATTATGGAGGGGAAGATGAGCTCACTGTAAGAAGATACAGTGATGTTAATCTCTAAACAGATAAAGATGATTTTTGTTTATAATCCGGGTTTATATTTTGTCTCAATAGAGTTGCAATGAGCTATAAGAGCTTGAAGTTAAGTATGGTAGGGGATTTTATGATTGATGCTAAGTATAACGCATTGTTTAATGCAACCGTATAGGCGGTTTGGATCAAGAAGTTCATTACTGAACTTGATGTAGTTCCAAGCATTGTTGATCCAATAAAGTTCTACTGTGATAACAATGGAGCAATTGTTGTGGCTGAGGAATCACAGTCTCACCAATAATCCAAACACTTAGTTGATTCAATCTGATATGAGAAGTCAATCAGAAAGAGAATGTGCAGAGTTGTAGAATACCTACTAACCTACTGTTGAAGTTTCAGTTGGAGCAAAAGCATGATGAGCACTTGGGTCATTCGATGTTAAATACATAAATGATTGGCTATAATGCAAGTGGGAGATTGTTGGAGTAGATGTCCTAAAGCCAATCTATTATTGCAAAATTGACTCTATAATAAATGTTTATTTATCAATAAAAGGCATATTCTTCTATATCGTGTAAATCATAGTTATATGTAATGATATATGTCCTTAAGATGGTAGAATCGAGACGAGGGTATCCAGTGTTTCAAATCTTGATAGTGAGAACCCTATGATCACATATGGTGGCCATTCTAGAAATGTCTGCAGCCCTAGTATTATTCTGACCAAGGACACAGATAATACAGTAAAGCTATTATAGTATTGAATGACCCTATCGAAAGGCAATGATTGATCTCACTTGTCAAAGTTATTTGCCGACAACCTAATGCAATGCATGGGTGCTTGCTAGAAGCAAGTTCACTGGATAGACACCAGAGGATTCCATAAGGATGGCAACCCCAGTGTCTATGGAATAAATCTTCTAACGGATGGTGGTGCATGTGATGCTTAGACTTGAGATCACCAAAGCGCCTTGTGCACCAATTGATGTAGTTTGACACTAGCCCAACATAGTTCTATTCAGAGGTATCAATACGATAGTGATAGGCTACATTGGGAAATGTATCTAGACTATGGTGGATCAACAAAGGATTCATCACTCCTGGGTACGGGAAAAGTTATCTCACTGAGTAATTCAGTAAATGACAATGACATTAAATCTATGGCCACAGTGGGATTGAGTTGATGCTTAATCCAATTTATTATTCCGATCATTGGTCCATTAACTGAATACAAACATATCGAGGATATCTGAGGTTGACACTATTTTTGTACCTCAAATCTTGATAAGATAACAGATGATGAAATGATTGGATTGCACGGTAACCATACCGTGACAGGCTACGGTTTCATTGAATCCGAATCTATCAGGTGGCCATGATGCCTTGCTAGGGGCTAATCTTGATCTGTATGTAGTGAGGCGATTAAATGGTGTTAATCGCGATACTACACATTGCCGATATGATGAAGAGCCTACGGGTCACACACTTAGAAGATAATTTAAGAATCAATTTGTGAGAAGGGTACTTTCGTCTTTCAAGATGAAAGGGTATTTTGGTAATCTCATAGTGCAATTAAATTTGCTGAGGTTATTGCCTGTATTTAATTTTAATATTAAAATTAAATTAGTGAGATTATATTTAAATGAATTATTATTATTAATTAAATGTTAATGTATTATTATATATTAATTGATTTTAATTATAATAATAATTAATTAATTAAAATACCATAAAGGGTGTGTTTGGTTGCAAGGGTGAACTAGGGTTGGAGCCCATGGCTATTCTTAAGTGTAATAGGGTTTTAATTGTTGCACTATATAAGTGCAACTTAAAATTAAAACAAGGTGATATATTCATTCAATCAAAAACCCTAGCCACCCTATCTCTCTCTCTCTCACGTTACACTCTTGTGTGAAGAAGAAATTTTTCTTGTTCTTCTTTTCTTGCTTCTTGAAGCCCTTGATTGTTCTAGCAAAATAATCAAGGGTTTTGCGAATTATCTTCGTGTAGAATTTCGTGAATGCGATCCTACATTGGATTGATTAGCGAAGAATCACGTGAACAGTGTTGGTGAATAGTATCCACTGAATAGTTCAGTGAACAGTATCGTGGTGAACAGTAGTTGGTGAACAATGTTCGTGTCTGAAGTTGAGATATTCGGAGGAGCCTCCAGACGTCGGTATAAACTAAATCCTTGTATGGATTTGTTTTTATATAGTTTTATTTTACGTTTCAATTTATGCATGAAAACGTTATAATCTATACTTGGATCTTGGTTCGTGTAATTGATCTATTCGTTTTAAATATTACGTTTTTCCACTACGCAAATCCGGCAGTTACTAACACATGCAACTATTAGTTAATAATTCTTTAAAGTATTACTTTTGTCATCTGAGACTGGAATTTCCATATTCTAAAATCAGTATTTTGGAGAAAGTTTCACATAAACTTTAGGGGGCTTCACAAAGAGTTTGGTAAACTGAAACCCAATACCTACGAAAATTAAACTTTTGAAAGAGTTTTTTTATTAAACTCGAATAATAATTTACGGTCGTCCATTGCATATGGACGACCATCCATTGTATATGGATGCCCATCCATATTAGATGGACGGGCATCAATCATTTTGTTTTTAAAATATTCTAGACGGACGTCCATCTTATATGAATGCTCGTCCATAGTAAATGGACACCTGTCCATATATGCGGATAGGGGTCTATTGATTTTTTTTGTAGAAATTATCCATTCGTGATGAACGGTCGTCCGTAAAGTATGGACGATCGTCTGTGATTGTTGGACAGTTGTCCATTCATGGGAGACATTTTTTCTATCCAACATGTCCATGTCTGATTGGATGGCATGTCGTTTAGTAAAAAAATTTGGTGCAAAAATTCAGTGTTCGTAGTATTATTCGAGTTGGAAACCGTAATGCTTGAAGCCTTAAAAGATACAGTAATGCTATCCTTACAAACCACTCTTACTAACAGCCTTACAAATTGACATGGCAACTGATATGGCAGATGCCATCTCATCCACCACATCACCCACTTCCCACATCTGTTCCTTCATTCCCTCCCAAATTATTCCCTAATTCCCTCCCAAATTATATATCAAAATTTTGAGAGACGGACACTAAATCAGAAATTGATTTCCCTTCCTCTGAAATTGGAAAATATCTACCACCGCCAATCAACCGTAACCACCTATGCTACCGTCAGAGGAAAAATATGACCACCATAACCGGATATTGTGGGCCACCACCACCACTGAGATGTCTAGCTAGATGGACTCACTCTGTCTCGCCGAAGTCTGTAGTCCTCTTTCTCAATCTCTCCAGTGAGTTCGAACTCCAGTCAAACTTGCGTTCCAGCTAGCTCTCTTGTCTTCGTATTACATTTGTGAGTCATCTTCGGCCAAACTTGAAGAAAATGCCAGTTTTACTTTGAGGTGTTGAAGCTGCACCATATTATTTTTTCTTATTTATCATTTAGAATTCTGTGAAATAAGAGGTAACTGATTTGACGTGTTGTCATTTGCTATAAGGAAGGAGCCAGAAACAAAGGCTATTTCAATTTTGGTTTCTCTACTTTCTTCTCCAAATTCTCTTCTTTGTCGTCAATTTCCATTGACGTGAGTCCATCGTCGCGACTCGAGACTGAGGTCATGTCTCGGCAAAAGAGCTTGACGAGACATAAAATGCAAAGCAATTCATGGTTCTGAGACCAGAGACATTAGCTTCACAATGACGGTACAACAAAATGTGCAATTAATCTGTTTCATTACTTTAGTTTAATTTCCTCTGCCAATTTCAACATGATATTTCTTCAAAGTTTGGCTTTTAACTGTTCTGGTTTTTCTATGTTTTGAATTGGCATTAGATGTCTTTGCTCTGTCATTTCTTCAAAGTTTTGCTTTTAACTGTTCTGATTTTTCTATGTTTTGAATTGGCATTAGTTGTCTTTGCTCGGTTATTTATTTTGTTTCCATTGGGTGCTAATACAATTAAAAAGGTCAGATGCATGAAATAACTGGTTTTCTTTTGAGTGTTGTTGCCATTTGATTTTGTTATGTGTTGTAATCATACAAAGTTTAGTTTAGTTTAATTTATTAGAATTGAGTTTAATTTATTAGAATTGAGTTTAATTTATTTATGGTTTTTCATAGGAGGCAAAAACAAAGGCTAAGAACGTGGAGAAACAAAGGCATTCTGCGCTCGGCAGTTATCTGCAGTTTTGCTAGCTGCTGCTGCTACTTCTTCCCCTTGTTTTGGTTGCATTCATGTGCAGGTTTTTTGCAGTTGTAGTGCTGGGTTTTTAGCCTCTTTTTGGTGGCTGGTTTTAATGTACAACTTGTGCAATTGGTTTTTGTTTACCAAAAAACCTGCATTGTTTTTGTGATGCTGGTCATTTTTTGTTTAGTCCTCTTTGAGGGTGGTTAGATGGTTCTTATGGATTGTAAATTTGTGACTCTTTTGTTGTTTTTGTTTTGCTTGGTTGCTTGGGTTTGTCCAAGGAACTTTGACTTTGTAGAGGTCCGCTTATTGGGATCTCATTTTTTTATACTTTATATCATTAATGAAGTAGTACACACATATGTTTCGACAACCTTATAACAAGCTTTTGATGTAATCTCATTTTGACAGGAGAAGGTATGAATTTTCAAAGTTTATGACAAGCTTTTCATCTAATCTCATTTTGACTTTCATTTGAATGCTAGAATTTTTCAATTGATTCAAACGCCGAGTGTGTTATTGAGTTGAAATGTAAATATTTACACTTTATGGTTTGTGGATGAGAAAAGGCAAGTGATAAACACAATACTTAGATTATTCATGATACTGTGTAATCACTACAAAAAGGAGAAATGATGGTGCTTTGTTAGCACTGCGTTAAGCATTAATTAAGCACTCCCAAAAAATGCCAACTAATCTGATGTAAAGTGCTTCAGTACATTGCTTAAAGCCCTATTAAGAATCATTCGTGCCAAAGTAAACTTACAACTCAAATGCACTACCGGGTTTATTATGTAAAAACTAAAAAGTAGAAGTTTACATTTATACAAGTCTATCATACATTGAGATCTGTAAGTAGTGAAACTCAAAAAACAATGGATATAGGTGCGAACTAATCACAATCTGAAACTTGTAATCCAAAATTTTTCTTGATGTGTATCTCAAAAGGAACAAATGCATCACAAAAAACAAAAGGTGGCTTTAAGGTAAATCTAGAAGCTGGTTTTACAAACATCCTCAGAAAATATTGTCAAGTAAATCATTTTCTGCATATAAACTTGAAGAAAAATTTCACTTCAAGACGGAACTCCAATAAAGAGGATAGGTCATAAGCTTTCAATTTCTTCTGTTGACTTCTAAGTTTCTTCTTTTATGTAGAAATGAAATATTTTTGTAACAAACTACTAATAGTCAAATAGAAAAACGAACTACCACGTTAAAAAAATTAAACAGCATAACGCCAATGCAATCCATCATCAAAATGTTTATGAAAGGGTGCTGCCCTTAAAGCTTAACAATTTCATCCCCTTGAATTGTCTTCAAAGCTTAACAAATTCAACAATTAATTCAAAATGTTTATGAAAGTGTCTCATTTATTTTAATATAATATGTCTTGACTCCATTTTCAATGTTTTCTTTTTTAACAAAAAGTCATAGTTAAATAGCAAAATATGCGTTTGATATCTTATAGTGATGTTAAAAGCTGTTGCCAAATAGTTGAAAACAGTTTTACAGCGCAAATCTACTAATTAGTTAATTAAAATTTGGCCTCCAAATTCAGTATATCCAACCCACAAACTCAAACCACATACCTACCACCGCAGTTAGTGTTCATCCTGTTCAAGTTCCTCCTCTTTCTTTACGATGGATAAAGCTTCAATAACGGCAAAAATTGGATCTTAGTTCCTCACCCACAAGTAAATAACCAATTCATTAGTAATTTATATTAAAAAAGAAAGTCACAAGATTTACTATGAGCAAGGAAACACTTTATTAATACAATTACTAGTATTAGCCATTTCTTGTACAATATTCTCACCAAAACAAAACATGATCCCATAGCATAACATTGGAATCAACATCAAAAGCTTGAAGCATTTGAAAACCTAAATTAGGAGCAATAAATTACATTAATGAAACAGAGCTCAAACCTACCGGACACTAGCTTTCTCAGCACAAAACTTAGAAGCAGAAGCCAAAAACTCAAAGTTGAATCCAAAATTACAATTATGACCATCATCCCCATCGTAAAAGTCCCTACTCCCACACCCACCAAATTGGTCCTCTTCTTCTTCAAACTCACACCCTGCTCTTCTAGACATAAACCCAATTATCTCCTCAAGTTCCTCAACTCTCCTCTTCAATTCTGCCTTCTCCCTCTCCATTTCGTCAATCTTAGATCTTAAACTCGCCATCTCCTCATTCACAATCTATTGCAGCAACAGCCTCTACTCCGCCTGCCGCGTGTTCCTGCGAGTAGCAAAGATCTCCACCACCCTCGATTCGCCTTCGAGTCCTCTTTCCTCTGTGACTTCATCTGCCTCAATTGCTCCTCCACCATCACCAACCGCGTCGAAAGCTCCCTCACTTGATATTCCGAAATGGGTATCAGTAAGAGAGACTTTTGTGGAAATAAAGCTAAAGAGTGAAAAGAAACTTAAGCCAAGATATGAAGAGAGAAGTTTCTTTGTTTCATGGTTTTCTTCTTTTATTTCGGCGATGGCGGTGGTAGAGATGGGTTGGTTGTGGGAGAGATTTTTCAATTTTAGGGGAAGGGTTCTCAGAAATTGATTTATCAATTATGCTACGGACACTGGGATTTTTGCACCGAAATATTGTACCGACCTACGTGTAAGACATCTCTAATTTTTTTAACAATTTTTTTTCTAGTAAACGGCCGTCAAGCAAATTTGGACGGCCGTTCACTCACATGGACGCCTGTCCATATTATATGGACGGGCATCCATAAAAAAGGGACGGGCGTCCCCATTTAAAGGACGCCTGTCCATAAATAAAATACAATAAAAAGTTTTTATAAACTTTGGGGATGGCCGTCTATAAATTTTGGACGGCCGTCTATAAATTTTGGACGGCCGTCCCTTATGTTTGGACGGGCGTCCGTCCATACTTAAAAAAAAAAAAAAAACATTTGGACACTTTAAAAAAAAAAAAAAATCGTCTTCTTTGTCTTCATTCCCCAGCTCCTGGGTTCTCATGTTAGTTCTTCGTTTGAGCATTTTGTTGTACAAGAAATTATAAGAAATGAAGGTGCTCATCTTTCGGGTACTAGCCAAAATCCTAATGATGCCAGGTGCAGGAAGCTAGGCTTGCAAGTTGTATCTGGTTTAAGCTCAGAGCTCACCAGTGTGAAGAAATCTACTGCCATGGATTCTAACGTGCTCAGCAGTGATGTGTCCAAGCTTTCTAGAGCAAAATTGGATATATCCCTCTCATGGATATTCTTTTTAATTGTTTTTTGTCAATGTGTAGACTTCTCAGTGTGATGTTTGCTTTAGTTGAGTTATTGGCATTAGTTTTATGGTTTAGTTTGTAGTGTGTAAAGAGGGATCATGGTTATCTGGAAAAGTAAATTAATAGTGGCTAGAGAGACGATCAGTTTTGGCTTGGCTTGAAGAAGAAGAAGAGCGAAGAAGGTAAACATTTCCGAAAGGAAGAAGAAGAAGCAGTATCCATGTTTAGATTTTTTTTTTTTTTTATTAAGTATGGACGGGCATCCATTACGAATGGACGCCCGTCAAAAAGTAATGGACGACCGTCCATATGGACGGTCGTCCATTACTTTTGGACGGGCGTCCATTACGTCCATACTTTAAAAAAAAAAAAAACTTTTTATTGTATTTTATTTATGGGGGACGCCCGTCCCTTGTATATGGACACCCGTCCAATGTGAGTGAACGACCGTCCAAATTTGATGGACGGCCGTTCACTAGAAAAAAATTGTTAAAAAATGTAAAGATGTCTTACATGTAGGCCGGTACAATATTTCGGTGTCCGTAGTGTTATTGCTCTAAATTTTTTAACAATTTTTTTCTAGTGAACGGCCGTCCACCAAATTTGGACGGTCGTTCACTCACATGGACGCCCGTCCATATTATATGGACGGGCGTCCATATACAAGGGACGGGCGTCCCCCATAAATAAAATACAATAAAAAGTTTTTTTTTTTAAAAGAATGGACGCCCGTCCATTCGTAATGGACGCCCGTCCATACTTAATAAAAAAAAAAAAAAATTCTAAACATGGATACTGCTTCTTCTTCTTCCTTTCGGAAATGTTTGCTTTCTTCGCTCTTCTTCTTCTTCTTCAAGCCAAGCCAAAACTGATCGTCTCTCCAGCCACTATTAATTTACTTTTCCAGATAACCATGATCCCTCTTTACACGCTACAAACTAAACCATAAAACCAATGCCAATAACTCAACTAAAGCAAACATCACACTGAGAAGTCTACACATTCACAAAAAACAATTAAAAAGAATATCCATGGAGAGGGATATATCCAATTTTGCTCTAGAAAGCCTGGACACATCACTGCTGAGCACGTTAAATCCATGGCAGCAGATTTCTTCACACTGGTGAGCTCTGAGCTTAAACCAGATCAACTTGCAAGCCTAGCTTCCTGCACCTGGCATCATCAGGATTTGGCTAATACCCGAAAGATGAGCACCTTCAGTTCTTATAATTTCTTGTACAACAAAATGCTCAGACGAAGAACTACATGAAACCTAGGAGCTGGGGAATGAAGACGAAGAAGCACATTTTTTTTTTTTTTTTAAGTGTCCAAATGTTTTTTTTTTTTTTTTTTTTTTTTTTTTTTTTGTTTTTTAAGTATGGACGGGCTCCATTCCTAATGGACGCCCATCAAACATAAGGGACGGCCGTCCAAAATTATGGACGGCCGTCCCCAAAGTTTATAAAAACTTTTTATTGTATTTTATTTATGGACGGGCGTCCTTTAAATGGGGACGCCCGTCCCTTGTATATGGACGCCCGTCCATTTGAGTGAACGGCCGTCCAAATTTGATGGACGGTCGTTCACTAGAAAAAAATTGTTAAAAAATTAGAGATGTCTTACACATAGGCCGGTACAATATTTCGATGCAAAAATCCCGGTGTCCGTAGCATTATTGAATTTAGAGATGTCTTACACGTAGATCGTATAATATTTCGGTACAATATTTTCGGTGTCTATAGTGTTTGTTGATTTATAGTTTCTAATTGGGTACAGATTTTTGATAAATATGGGGAGGCAAAATTTTTGAATTTTTTTTAATTGACGTGGTAGTGGATGAGGTGGCAAATGAGGTGGTATTTGTCATTGTTTCTGCCATGTCAGTGTGTAGGTTCGTTAGTAAGATTGATTTGTAAGGAACCATTATTGATAACGAAATTATTTAGCCGAGAGATTAAAGGCAATGTTCTGAAAACCGGACCGGAGCCGGCCCGACCA